TTTTATAATTTGAGGACCTCTAGTGCAATTGTATTGGATTTTAGATTGTTAAAAGATTTAAATATAGACCACGAAAATAAAATATGTCGAATTATTAGATTGGATTCAGGTCAAACTTTCAAAGTTGACTTCAAATCAATCAAAATTCGATTTAAACTTGATTCATAGGCGTGTCGATCATGTCGTGTCGTGTTCGAGTCATGTCATATCAGATTCAAATCCAAGACACATTAACTCAAACACGACATGTGAATAAAACGAATTAGGTCATTTGGACACGAACACAATCTGATTATAAACACAACTAATTCGACACGACCCATTACTTGAGATTTTATACAAGTTGTGTCCGGAGAAAAACAACCCCACCCGACACGACCCAAAACAAAAGAAAAAGACATTAAAAACAATTTATATCTTGTACCAATAATTTAATCAAGATACATCAACTTATCCATCAATTTAATTAATTTAAACCTAGAACAAAAAAAAAAAGGACAATTTGAACCTACATTACCAAAAAAAGATATTAAAAACATTACAAAGCATTACAAATATCCCCAATAATACAAATCTCTAAAGTATTACAAATCCCAAAATAAATATCCAAAGCATTAAAATATTCCAAAACAATACAAATACCCCAAAGCATTACAAATATTACAAACTAATATGTATTATTAACATCATGCTACAAGAAATCACAAATCTACTATTGTATTAACAGCATGCTATAAAAAATCAATCTATAGTATTAACAGTTTTGAATTTGCAATCTGAAATAGGGATCTAAAATATAATCTAAAAATCTAAACGTCTGAATTAGGGATCTAAGACATATTCTAAAAATCTGAACAATTGAAACCATAGATCTGAATTAGGGATCTAAAATTTGTGTGACTGGATGCTGGCAAGGGGTGTTTCACTTGGGGCTGTAAAACAACGGTGATGTACAAGTGCAGTGAAAGTGAGGGATGAGTAGTGAAGTGCAGATTTGCGTGTGTTGTATGTGTATGTGTGTGTGTGTGTGAGAGAGAGAGAGAGAGGGAGCGAGCTAACCTAGTCTGGTTGGTGGTGTGGTGGTGAGTAAGGGCCTGAGGAAGGGAGAGGAAGGCTGTGGTGTGGGATAGGAATGTCAAAATTCGATATGAAACAATTAATCGACACCAATTAAGTGAGTTTGGGTGAGATTTTAACGGGTTTGGGTGATAAACGGGTTGACACGCCAAACACGTNGTGGTGGTGAGTAAGGGCCTGAGGAAGGGAGAGGAAGGTGGTGGTGTGGGATAGGGCTGTCAAAATTCGATACGAAACAATTAACCGACACGAATCGACACCAATTAAGCGAGTTTGAGTGAGATTTTAACGGGTTTGAGTGATAAACGGGTTGACACGCCAAACACGTTTAATAAACGGGTTGACACATTAAACCGTTTATCACACGTTTACTCGTTTAAATAAAATTAATGTAATAATAAATTAATAAATATTTTAAAAAATTAACAAGAAAAAAAGAAGTAAAGAAATTAATAAAAAAAAAAAGTAAAATAATAGTTCAAAGATAAAAGAGAGGAGATGAGGAACACTTCAAAGACAAGGACAAACTAATGNAAGTAAAGAAATTAATAAAAAAAAAGTAAAATAATAGTTCAAAGATAAAAGAGAGGAGATGAGGAACACTTCAAAGACAAGGACAAACTAATGCCTTTTTTTTTTGTCCCACATTGGAAAATGAGGAGAGATGGAGAGAGTTGAGTTGCCAGTAAAAAGTAATGACCTTTTGCTTCATTTTTTTAAGCATTTAAGTCTTATTTTTATGAGATTTGACTAAAATTTTTTTTTTGAGGTAAATGTCATTGACAATAAAAAAGTAGTAGAGTATTAAAATTTGTTAATATAATTTTTTTTAAAATTAAACGAGTTGTGTCGTGTTATCCGTTTATTAAACGAGTCGTGTTTGTGTTGAAATTTTTTACCCATTTATTAAACGTGTTGTGTATGAGTTTATATGTTTTTCACCCGTCACCTGTTTAACCCGACATATAATCGTTTAACTTGATACGTTTGACACCCCTAGTGTGGGAGGTAGACCAATTGAATTATTAGGAGGGAGGTAGAGGGGGGGGGGGGGACAAATGAATGAATTTGGGGTTAGGGATCCAACTAAGTTAATTTAAATAGTGTTGAGCAATTTTGGGTTCGATGCAGGTTAATCGAGTTCATGTCGACCCGATTAAATACAAGGGTCAATGGGGTTAATTTTGAGTTAAATGAATTGAATCCGAACAGGACCTTTTAATAATTCGTGTTGGCGAATTGTGTCAAATACGGATTTGTATCAAAAAAAAATCAACCCAGACCTATTTATTCGTATCATATTGTCATGTCGTGTTGAAAATTATCACCCTTATTGATCCGTTGACGAGCCTAGTTATGGGCAACATATAGGAGTGTCTATGAGCCAATATAGGCTTGGCCCGCGAATTTTTTTTTGGGTCGGGCTTGGTAGCGTAAACTTAATCTCTTATTCAAGTGAGTTATCGATTGGACCGGGCAGGACTTCGAGTAGGGATAGGCTACCCGCGAGCCTATTAGGCGGGCCTGCTCATGAGCTTTGTTATATACAACTTCATATAAAAATAATGAATATTTTTGTAACTTAATATTTGTGTAAACTATATTTTTGAATCAAAAATAAAGTTAAAATACATAAAAATAAAATAATGAATAATTTTATTTTTAATTAGGGACTGAACTACATTCAATAGAATGAATATATCCCAACTAGGTTGACATTTACTCACTTATCTATCATTTGCATTACTCTATTTTTTTAAATTTGTATGTTTAATACATAAAAAATAAAATAATTCATTATTTATAATATTTAAAATTTTAAAATTTCAAATTGCGATATTATGAGACTTATTTCAAAGTTTCAAATTTAATGATTTAAAAATATAACTTTTTTTTAAACGAAAGGTAAATGGACTATGTGGATGGGTTGGATTTGGCTACCGGACTCTTAGGCTTGGCTTGAGGCCGGGTAATGAATTTAGTGATAACTCTAAATCATCTTTTTAAAGATATTGAGCTCAAGATCAGACTCGAACAGACTAATAATCAAACTTATCAAATTTTGAATAACGAGATCCGCGAATAATCTGGTCCATGGGCACCCCAGCAACATATAACATGCATTGGCTATGGTAGGTAGAGAAAATCAAGGCGGCGAGTTCCGCTAAATTAAAGATAGGTCATTGTGTACCATAACAGAAAAAGTACTCAAAACTTCAGTCTGTGGCAGTGGTTCATACTTCATTCAATTACCCACCTTTCACGGGTCCAACTATGTCCAAGGAAAAAAGGC